ATCTCGGCCCTGCAGAATCAGAGATCTGCTCTAAGACATGTGTTGTCTAGGAAGATCTGATGTCTGCTTAATGGAGACGTGCTGGTTGGTACTTGAGAGTCAGAAAGGAGTCTGTCTCCAAGGCAGACCGAACTCAGGGAAAACTGGGATGCCAGAGGTTGCTGACCTGGCAATGCCCTTTGCCTACATTCCCTCTACCAAAACTACACCTCCCATGTTGGTAGTGCCAAGACCTGTCTCATCACTCTCGAATGGGCAAGCATAAATGCCAAGGATTGGAACCTCCTCTGCCCTTGAAAATGCCTGTGTTCAGGTACCATCTGCTTTTAAACAAAACACCCACAGAGTCACAGTTGACCTGGTCATCAAAAACATGGAAAGTGACTTTGCCTTAAGTGACAAGGATGGCAAGGGGTACAGAGGCAGTCAGGGTGAACTTGTGGATATGAACTTCAGCAGTCTTAGTAGCTGCTAGTGGAGCCTCCTTCCTGCTCTAGGGTCTCTTCCCCTCCCATGCCACACCGTAGCTCCTTCTTCCTATAAGAAGAGAAGAGTATTATTATTATTATTATTATTATTATTATCATTATTTATACAGTGTTCTGCCTGCATGTGTAACTGGAGAGTTGGATGCCATTTTGTAGCCAGAGACTGTTTGTTTGTTTTGAACTATATTAATTACAACACTGTTTAGCCTATTAGCTCAGACTTCTTATTGGCTAGCTCTTATATCTTAAAATAACCCGTTTCTATTATTCTATTATTTTTCTATTCTATTATTATTCTATTATTCTAACGAGTCTGTGGCTTACTGGGTTAAGTTCCAGTGACCATCTCCTTCAGCAGCTACCTGGCATCTCCCTGACTCCACCTACTCTATCTCTGTTCTTATTTTCTGCCTGGCTTTACTCTGCCAAGCCATTGGCCAAAACAGCTTTATTCATCAACTAATAACGACAACACATATACAGAAGGACATCCCACATCATTCATGTATGCCTTCAGGCCAGAAGAGGGCACCAGATTTCATTACAGATGGCTGTGAGCCACCATGTGGTTGCTGGGAATTGAACTCAGAACCTCCAGAAGAGCAGCCAGTGCTCATAACCTTTGAGCTGCCTCCCCAGTCCAGAAGAGGAAAGTCTTAAAAGGAGCTTTGCACTGTAAATGAGGAGGGCCATACAGATTCTCACCTTACTTCCTAGGATAATCAATGTAAAAGGAGCGAGAGATAGCGAGCCTACTACCAGCTCACTTGCCCAAGGCATCTTTTCGATTATATTCTCACCTGAGGTGAAACTTCCCCAAGGTAAAAAGATGGCTCTTTAGATGGCTCTTGTTACCCATCTGTGCCCACCTCTGTACTAAAAACGGTTTTTAAAACCCTGTCAATGGCTTATCCCTTCCATAGGACACATTAAGAGATCCCTCGATCCCAAGGCCACCGTCAAGATCTTGGCCTCGGGGGTCTGTGTCTTGGTCAGACCTAGAACCATGCATACTGGACTCGACCTTACATGTTCTTTCCCTTCTGCAGAGCGCTCATTCCCACTCCAGCCCAGGGGCTCTGCAGACATGACTGGGGGAAGAAACCTTATCCGACCCTGGCCAACCCATTGACTTCTGCATCGACTTCTCCCCCCTCCCCCATCAAAAATGATACAATTTTTAAAGCCGAACTGAGGCAGATGTATGTTTACTTTGAGAAGTAAAAATGTTAACATTTAAACTGAAAGCCTGCTTCGGTTTTAAGGTTCTTAATTGCCTTAGAGCATATAATAAACGCAGCCCATCTTGTCATTCAACTAATGGAGGAGTGATGGAGAGATGGGGGCCGGGACCCTGCTCTTCCCAGGGTGCCTTTGTACTTAGTTTACTTTGGCACCGTGCCTCGTGTGTATTTTACACTTCTTTACATTTTGTACATCCCTGTATGACAAATACTTGTCAAACAAAAACTAAACAGATTTATAACCCCTTAACTTGAAATGAACCAACATTGAACTGCCAAAACTTTATGACTTCATTTTCGTTCATAGTGCTCCACTGCATTGGTTCAAACAGACAAACCCCACTTGAGGTCAAGCAGAGGTCATTTCACTTTCATTACTAAAATATAATTTACAATATGCCAGACCTAAACAAGTTTAGCCTAAAGGGTTTGTATAATGTAAACCATCTGTTCCTTAACAATACAGCTAATTTCCTGCCATCTCCGAGCAGTCTGCTGACGGCTTCTTTTTAAGGGGTTTTATGATTTTTTAACTAGTTAAGGATTTATGTAAAATTCGAAAATGAGTCTGTAGTTAAGACTCATTTGTACCAAGTAACTTGAGCAGTTTCTTAAATGCAAATCGCTGTGTAAATGGCTCCCCTGAAACTAAACTTGGAGTCCGTGTTTCTGGGCGTTTTCTAGACCGGCCGCTGCAGGTGCTCACGAGAGTTTCTGAACTGTGCCATTTGGGTGTTTTCCCTACTCGTTCCCACAACCAACGCTCAAATTTGGTTTTTGGGTGACTCTTGCCAACCTTGCCCTCCTTAGAGAAGTCAAAGAAGACATGTGTAGCTGCGTGCTCTCAAACTTACCAGTGCTGATGAGCTATGACAAGATGCAGTTGGGTCAAAATGGAGCCTTTCGTATGCACGAATAAAAAGAGAGAACCGTTTATAACATTCTAGGATACGCCACCATCATTCCCTTCTTCTGACTCGGGCAAGTCGCAGAGCCCTGCTCAGCCTCCAGAGCCATTGTTGGGCCTGGCCTTGCTGGCCAGAGCCTTGGTATAAGCTTTCCTGGACCTTCTCTACTCTTTCCTCTCCTCCTTCTCCAGCAGCAAAAGGAGTTCTTGGAAAGGCAAATGTAAGAGAAGAAATTTGCTTACCTCAGTGGAAGGAAGGGCAGTTCCAAAGACTGGGGGCATTGGCCACGCCCTTGCCAAATTCCCGGTCACCCCTTCTCACCCTGGAAATTTGGCCTGCTCTTGTCTCTTTCCCAACTGATCTCTGCCTCCAACCATGCATCCCAGGAAGAGGAGCAGTCTGCCTCTGCTCAGCTTCTCCCCTGCCCTCAGGATCCAGATGAATTCTATACCAACTTGAAAAACACTTGTTAAAAAACTAAACAACTAAACAACTATACCAAACCAAAGAAAGTCTTAGAAAAGAAACTTAAGACACATCTTTTAAAAAAAAAAAAAAAAAGGGAATTGAAAGGACCTCTAGAACTAATTGAGGTCTGTTTGCAGATCTAAATCACTGACAAAATTTATTCTCCTTCGGGATGGCTGCAGAGTGGTGAAGAAATTCAAGATTATTAGCTACACATTGGAGCTTGCTTACAGGCCTGTGTTGCCAGTTAAAGTTTGTTGTTTGCTGCTCAGGCATTAATTAGTCTTAGAAAACAGCAGATCCAAGATGTCAACCCAGATTTGCTTGCACTCAAAACTCAGTGATTTGAACCCCACCTTTATACCAAGGGTTAACTCCCAGCGGTGCAGGAGAGCACCCAGTCCTTAAGTCCTTGCTCTCAGTCTGACAGGAGATTGGTTTATTTCCTGCTTCTCATTATCCCAGGTTATCTCTAGTTTAGTGCTCAGTCCCTTACCCTTCCCTAGCATCAAGACCTGGAACTCCTGCTCAGGTTAAAAAAAATATAAAAAATAAAAAATAAAGCAATGAACACCATACTGTTTAAGAGGCCACGGCTTCCACTGGGTTCCTTCCAGTTACTTGATTATCATCAGCTGTCATGGGAATCCTTACCTCAACATCACGCAGAAAGGATTTATCTCGCGTTACTCTTCCCAGAAATAGTAAGATCATCCCATGCTTTGAGAAAACCAGTCAGCCTACCTGATGGAGAACCACTGATCTGGACCTTGTGAGAAAAATAGTAGGTAAACCTATAATGGCAGAAAAGAAATTCCTGATTAGTCAGGATGAAAGACTAATGTATGATTTTTAATTTAATTACTCTGTTAATTTATGTTTTCAATCTAATCCTGAAATTTTTAGTGTATAAGATAGCTGAGTTGAAAAATCTTTGCCTCCTCTCCTTCTCTCTCTAACTCCCACTTCTATTAGTAGCCATTACTGCTCTGAGATTCCTTTTGTCAGCTCTCTCAATTTTCTTATGCATATACAAAGACATAGGAACAGGGTCTTTCTATTTCTCCACTTTTATGCAAAGGTTATGTATGACATTAGCTGCTCTGCTTTTTATGAACTAAAAGCATTATGATTTTAGAAACCATTCCATGTCTGCACATAGAAAGTTTCCTTATTTTCCACAGCTTTATAATATTCTGTTTAGGTGCCACACACACTTTTATGCCTAGGAATTAAACCCGGGTCACTGCGCATGAAGGCACTTTTAACCCTTGAATGGTAGACCCAGCTCTTGTGGAAACTGGGTTTGGCCCATGCTTGCTGCAAACTCCTAATATTTCTACCTGTGTTTTCTGAATTGCAGAAATTGTGTTTTCTGAATTGCAGAAATTCAGAATTTAGAATTGCAGGTATACCCTTGCTGAGTGCTAGAATTGCAGCCATGCATTTGCTGAGTGCTAGGATTGTAGGCATATGCTACCATGCTTGCTCTACCTTTTTTTCCCTCCATTTTCTGTCTACTTGTTTGTTTTCTCTTCGGGGACTTATTCTGTTTTTAAGATAGGGCCCCACCAGGTAGCCTAAGATAGCCTCCATCTTCCTTCCTCAGATTCCACAGTGCTAGGATTACATGCACCTGCTACCACACCCAACTTCTTTAACAGTTATTAGGATCAGTCTCCTCTAGGGAGATACTTGAGTATTTTAAGTACTATAATGGATAGAACCGCAATAGCAAACCTCAGTCTACAGGGAATCACACGTACCTTTACCATTGCCTTCAGCACAAGTATCCCACCTGGACACACCTTTGGTATGTCCCATCTCTCCTTTCAATGCCAAGATGTCCAGTTTTAAGAAAGGTTTTAACCCACACTTTCCCTTTCTTGCAGAGCAAGGCTAAGGAGTTGCCTCTTTCTGCTGTACGTTTTATGGAAGAACTGGGTGAATGTACATTTGGAAAAATCTATAAGGGCCATCTCTACCTCCCAGGCATGGACCATGCACAGTTGGTGGCTATCAAGACCTTGAAGGACTATAACAACCCCCAGCAGTGGACAGAATTCCAACAGGAAGCCTCTCTCATGGCAGAACTACACCATCCCAATATCGTATGCCTCCTCGGCGCTGTCACCCAGGAACAGCCTGTGTGTATGCTCTTTGAATACATGAACCAGGGAGATCTCCACGAGTTCCTCATCATGCGATCCCCACATTCCGATGTCGGCTGTAGCAGCGACGAGGATGGGACGGTAAAATCCAGCCTGGACCATGGAGATTTCTTGCACATCGCGATTCAGATTGCAGCAGGCATGGAATACCTGTCTAGTCACTTCTTCGTGCACAAGGACCTGGCGGCTCGCAATATTTTAATCGGAGAGCAGCTGCATGTAAAGATTTCAGACCTTGGGCTTTCCAGAGAAATTTACTCTGCTGATTACTACAGGGTACAGAGTAAGTCTTCGCTGCCCATTCGCTGGATGCCTCCCGAGGCCATCATGTATGGAAAATTCTCCTCTGATTCCGATATCTGGTCTTTCGGGGTTGTGTTGTGGGAGATTTTCAGTTTTGGACTCCAGCCATACTATGGGTTCAGCAATCAGGAAGTGATCGAGATGGTGCGGAAGCGCCAGCTGTTACCATGCTCTGAAGATTGCCCGCCGCGAATGTATAGCCTCATGACCGAGTGCTGGAATGAGATTCCTTCCCGGAGACCGCGCTTTAAAGATATCCACGTCCGGCTTCGATCCTGGGAGGGCCTCTCAAGTCACACCAGCTCTACCACTCCCTCGGGTGGAAACGCCACCACGCAGACCACCTCCCTCAGTGCCAGCCCTGTGAGTAACCTCAGCAACCCCCGATTTCCCAATTACATGTTCCCGGGCCAGGGAATTACACCACAGGGCCAGATCGCTGGTTTCATTGGACCAGCAATACCTCAGAACCAGCGCTTCATCCCCATCAATGGATACCCAATACCTCCAGGATATGCCGCCTTTCCGGCGGCCCACTACCAGCCTGCAGGGCCTCCCAGGGTGATTCAGCACTGCCCGCCTCCCAAGAGTCGGTCCCCAAGCAGCGCCAGTGGCTCGACGAGCACTGGCCATGTGGCCAGCTTGCCCTCATCAGGATCCAATCAGGAAGCAAACGTTCCATTGCTACCACACATGTCGATTCCAAATCACCCCGGTGGAATGGGTATCACTGTTTTTGGAAACAAATCTCAAAAACCCTACAAAATAGACTCAAAGCAACCATCTTTGCTGGGAGACTCCAATATTCATGGGCACACCGAATCTATGATTTCTGCGGAAGTATGAAATGTGTGCCTTTTGTACATACTCTATACCAGACAAACTGAAACGTGGCAGAAAAGATTTATATTCAAATGTTTTTATTGAAGGTTCTCGCTTAGCAGACATTGCAATGGGTGTCTTCTGTGAAGTTTAACTCTGTCTTACTGGAAAGGCAACCAGCCAGGAACAATAATGCATTGTGGGATTGACACTCCACCCAGGTGTGTGTTGTGGTGTTGGGAAAGGACCGATTCAAGTACTGAAAACCAGTGAAGAGAAACAGAACGTTGTAATTACTTAGTAAACCAAAAAAAGGAAGTCAGATGGTGCTCTGTGTAATTGCCGTTGGTCACCATGGCTGATCTACCCCCCAAATGTATATACTGTAGCATTTGTCTACCTGCTGTCTCTACTTCAAGACAGATGTTCAGGAACTATTCTGACTCACCTTAGACTCTAAGCGTGTTTGAATGGAAGTGGTGTTTAGCACCACAGAGGGAACTTGAGGCCACGTCTGAAATCTCGGATGGAAATGAGCCATACAGACTTGTCATGTCCACAGAAGTCCTCTCAGTAATCGGGTTTCTCTGGGATGTTGTAGGGTGGTGATGTGAACCTCCTCTTCTCATCATGAAGGCCTTTTCCAGTCCCTTTTCCACAACATGTTTACACAGGTCCTAAAGAAGGTAGATGCAGATACTGGAAATGGCTGTAGATTACAATTGGGGTCATTGCTTTAGGGATGGGGCGCCCAAGGAGACACAGTCAGGAAAATGGTCCCCAGCGTGGATCAGTGTCCACGGAGGAGGACCGAGGGTTGTTTCACTGTTCCTTTGGTGAGCTCCTCTCTTTAGGAGCTTCCCTGGACCACTCATGCTGCAAACGGGTGATGCTAGAGGCAAGCACACCCACACCCATGCCTTGCCTGCAGCCTGTTTACAAGTTGGCCAAGGTCTTGGGAGTGTTTACTGTCAAAAGACTGTGAGCAAGAGGAAACCCTGTGATGATGCCAGTAGCGAGCAAATTTAAATTCTCATTTTTCTTGTTTTTTTTTTTCCTGGAGATGTTCACCAATTATATTCTAGCACCAAGAAGTGTAACAGTTTATTCATAGAACTAGCTGGAATCCAAAGACAATACATCCTATTTTGAAAAACATTATAGGATGTCTAAAAACCATACTGAATGATCTCAAAGACTACAAGACCCCGAATTCCTTAACTTGGCAAACAAGCCGTTTGATCCTTCTTGCCTTTCTTAGGGGATGACATCAATTGTGCCCATCCTGGCATTGAGTTGCCAACCACATTTTACCAAGTTCAGAATTCTGTGGGATTCAAGTTCTGCATAGAAAGGAATTTTAAATTTGATTTTTCTCTTGTTAAAAAAAAAAAACAACTCCTTTATTCTAAGAAAAATGTCAGCAAATCTTGCTTTTATTTTAAAGCTATAGAGACTTACAGACGTATAAGATGCAAAATAAATCCTGGAAATATTTCATGAGAGAAAGAAATACTTCTTGAGGGGAATATAAGAAAGTTAGGAAGACCTTGATGTTTCTGCCTTTAAAGGTAGAATTTGCATAGGAAATCTGTCTACCAAAATGTGCCTAGTTTTCCCATACAAACATGAACTTAAAGGTACTGTGAACTCAAAAGAGTTGGCTATATTCAGATTTACCAGGCAATAAATTAAGAACTGTTTTGTGGCATGAATAAGCTGAATCTATGTAACATTTCTTGAAGTTGAGTAGAGGAGGAGATTTGTATCCTTTTGTTGCTATGCAACTGTTTAGCGATGACGCTTCAAACCACAATTTTGTATATGATATGACAATCAATCGTTTTCCAAGAATATTTATTTTGAGTAAACACAGTCCCAGTGAATCTGTGTTTTCAAGGAGTCCCTGGGGGGGGGGGGGCTAGCATTCCATGAGCCAGTGAGATACCTTCTCTGGAAAGTCATTATTATGGTTAAAAAAATAAATTCAACTTAGTTTTTTATAAAGAACTATAACATTTATTTTTAAGCCTTTTATAATAACTGAAGCCATGAAGGTGAGCAAGCTAAATTTCAAAACCACTTGTTAGAATTATGAAAACAGGGCTGAGGTGCTGCGGCACGCAGCCTCTTTTGTATTAAATGGTACTTTTTTCACAAGCTGAAAAATCTTTCACTTTGTTGACCATATTTTGTAAGCTAACTTTATTTTCAGGTGTTTTTTTTTTTAAAAAATAATTTCTCTGCACAAAACTGTCTATGGTTTGTATCACAGAAGTGAAAATATATCTGCATTTTTATATCTGGTCTGTTTCCTTCTTTCTTTTGCTTGTGTTTAACTCAATGTAGATTTTCTTCAAGTATACAACGGCAATGTTCAGATAGCTCACACTGCCGTCTCTCCCCTTATCCTCACTGCATGCGTTTAATCACTGTATTGATGTTTGATTTGTTCTTATGGGCATTCCAGATAGGGAAGCATCTTTTGTAATGATCAAAAGACTATTTTATATTGAGGATATACGCCTATGTATTTCACCACCGGAGATGATATTAAACACTGATCATTTTATGCTGCTGTTTATTAAAATGTTTACTATGAAAGATGTCCTGAATATTGCTGTCATAGGAGACTCTGGAAGTCGTCACGTTGTTTCCAATGACTGACGTTCCTTAGAAGGCGGGATCACAATTCTTATTTTTGTCTTATTTCAATTAAATGACATTTAAGTATATTTCAAAAATAGACGCGCCGGGCTGGGAATATCACTCAGGTGATGCAGCACTTGCCTGGTATGTGTGACACCCTAGGTTCAAGCCCCAGCGCTACAGACGAGGCCAGGTGTGGGCATGGGTTTGTTAGTGACCATGGGTGGAAAGCAGAATCCTGATGAGATCATAACCAAGTATAATCTGCCTGTAGATGGCAAGCTTTGAACTTTGACATATTCATAATGGAATGTAAAAAATTAGAAGTAGGATTGAAGTTGGGTTATTTTCTGCTTCCATGTTTCCATGAGTTTAGCAGAACTCACACTGTAGGACTCTAAAGATTAGTCCGTGCATATCTTTTATCACATCCAACTTGGATTGCAACCATTTGGTAACATGAGAGAGATGCAGTCATTTAATTGACACAATATCACCATAACCCGATTTGCCCAAAAGAAAAAAAACTCCCATCCAACAATTAATACATGCCGTCAAGGAAAATGAGTATCGTTATGAAAGTTCAAAGGACCTGTTCACCTCTGCTGTTAACACAGAAGAAAGCACAAGAAAACCTTCAGGGCCTTCTCCATCTGTCTTTAACGACAGCTGTTGTCACCACCTCAACCACCAAACTTAATAAAGCAACCATAGCCAGCACAGTGAGGTCGCGTAGGTTTCACCTCACACTTGAATGCCTGGACCTTCCCTTCATTCCTGCTTCCTTTTCCTGTCTCTCCAGGCTCCTTGCCCCCATCCCCTCAACCCCACATCCCTTGATTCCCCTAGTTCCCTAACCACCAACACCTGCAGGCTCCTGACACCACGATCTCGCATCGCCGGTAATGAGGCACAAATGTTCACTAAACAAGACTTCTGCTCTGGGCATGCCTTCAAAGATGGTTACCTATTTTAGCATTTCTTCCAGAGCCGGCTTCCAAGAGTACCCAGGGACTTGTCAGCAATGTGAATTATCAAGTCCTTTCTTGACTCAAGTACTAAACCTACATTTCTATGGGTAGAACACAGCAATTTGTGTTTTAAGAATCTTCTACGTGATTCTGACAGGCACTGAAGATCAAGAGCTACTGAATTGACAGGGGTGGGTAGGGATGGGTAGCCTTTGCACCTTCAGTAATGTAGCAGTACACAAGTCCTAATGACAGTAATGTAACAGTGCACAATGACTAATAACATGTCGATCATTCCTCCGAAGGAAAACCTAGCCACACAAAACCACAGTGCTGAAGTTAAGCCATTTGTTAATCAGTTGTATTTTCTGGGGCTAGGGTTATAGTTCAGCTGGTGAAGTGCCCTCCTAGAATCTGTAAAGTTAGGGGTAAGATCACCAACAACCCGTCCCCAAAAGGATTTTTCACTTAGATCGAAAATGAATAATGTAGGGGCGGGGTGGGGGAAGTTGGCTCAGCAAGTCTTGGCCCTTGTCCTACAAGCCTGGCAACCCGAGTGACCCCTGGGACCAGTGCAAAGGTGGAGGAAGAGAACAGGCTCGACAGAGCTGCTTTCACCGTCACCACGTGTGTGCCATGGCATGCGCACCCCTTCACAGTAATAGAAATAAATGTATTTTTAAAAGAAAAAACACAGCACAGGCTGAGGTCAGTGGCTGAGGGCATTCCAAAAACTCCAGGAGGCTTTGCATGTTCCCCTGCTCCCTCCTAAGGCAATCCTCACCTTGTTGGATCCTGGCTAAATGCTTTTACTTTCATACGGGCAAGCTCAAAGAAGCTATTTTCTTAGTACATTTTTTTTTTAATTTCTAAACTGATGGTTGGAAAAAAAAAAAAAACACTCCCTCTGTGCTTCACCTTATGAAGAAAAAAAAGGATCCCTAAACTCCAGCAATCTTGTCTGAAGGGTAAGGCCAGCTCCTAGTTCACATCATACTGGAAGCCATGCAGAGGCCCCTCCCTCCTCTGTGCTTCCTGTGACAGTTGGCAGAAATGGTCACCTGCAGCTTGGTTCCCAAATCAGCTGCAGTCCATCTGGGCCTGGCAGCCTAGGAACTGTCCTCTGTGCAAGCCTAGCTCTCCAGGGAGCTATGGGGCTTAAAGACTGGGGAAAGACAGCAAGAGGGGTCCAGAATGGTGGCAGGGTGAAGTTCACACTCTTCTTAATTTATAGAGCATCCATTTCAGTCTTTAGCTCAAATGTTAAAGAGGAAATACCAAATGAGAGGAGGAAAAGGAGCGAGGAAGCGCACACAAGGGGGTTTGCAGCCCGTCAGAATCACACCTGAAGTTTCTTACCATAAACACCAAGATCCTGGGTCACAGAAACCTCAGGAGAGTGAGCCTTACAAACCATCAAAGTGTTCAAGGTCAAGGAAATCCTCTGGGAAATTAGTATGAGGAGGTTTAAAACCATGGAGATGTAAAGGAAGACAGACTGATGACATATTTATGACAAGCCAAGTTCTAATCACCTAAGAGTTTGCTTGTTCACAAATAAGTACCTTAACTCTGGCTGATAGGGGAGGGGGAGCTCCAGTCCCTTCCCTAAGTGACTTTGGGAATGAACGTCAGCTAGGGAGGAAAACCCTGCCTGAGGGTTAGAGAGAACATTGTCTAGGACTTTGTAAAAGACAGTATCACAGAAATGAAAACTCAAGGAATGTTTAACATGAAGAAAAGGAGCCCGTGTGTCAGTTCTCATTGACCTGTACTCCTGATTGTAAATGTAGACATTACAGACTAGCTACACAAAGCCATAGATTGGAGCTCAAATTCTTCTGGCTTTAGAGGCAGAGTGGAATCAGAAACAGGTGTCAGCCACATCTGTCGGCAGAGGTGGGTGTGCTGTGGCTTCCCTGTGTGGCATCTCTGAATGACAGCCTGTTTCTCAGCATAGAGAAAACAAGAGTCCTAAGACATGGTCATTCATCCGATCTTAGCTCAGACATGCTGCTTGTTAATTCGAGTTCTGAGGCCAAATATGACTGTAAGGCATGTATCAATTCCCTCCGGTTTACTGGCAATGAGGGCACATGGTCATAAGAAAGGCTCTAGAACATAATGTTAATCACTCCTTTTTTTTTTACATTTTTAATGGATTTTTATTGAGGTCTACATTTTTCTCTGCTCCCCTCCCTGCCTTTTCCCTACCCCCTTCAACCTTCCCCCAAGGTCCCCATGCTCCCAATTTACTCAGGAGATCTTGTCTTTTTCTACTTCCCATGTAGATTAGATCTATGTAAGTCTCTTTTAGGGTCCTCATTGTCTAAGCTCTCTGGGATTGTGGTTTTTGTAGGCTGGTTTTCTTTGCTTTATGTTTAAAAACCACCTATAAGTGAGTAGATGTGATAATTGTCTTTCTGTGTGTAGTATCTGTTCTTATCAGTTAATCACTCTTAAAACAGTTAGTATACAAAATAATGGGTGTCATTATGACATTTTCAAAAATACGTCTTTGTACTCTGCTCACAACCATCCTTCCCTTGTTGGCCCTTTCTCACTTCCCATTAGTCCCCTTCTTTCCCCAAAATAGCTCCCCTTCTGATTGTAGTCATATGGCAACTTGTTGTGGAATAATATTTTTGTACAATGTGAAAATATGTCACTCAGATTAGTTTAATAAAGAGCTGAACAGCCAACAGCTAGGCAGGATTTGGGGGGGGCAGAAAACATTCTGGGAAGAAGAAGGCAGAGGTGCCAAGAGATGCAGAGCAAGCAGGATGAACAATATGGAGATGAGGTAATAAAGCCACGAGGCAGAAAGTAAATTAATAGAAATGGGTTAATTTAAGTTCCAAGAGATAGTTAGAAACAAACCTTAGCTATCAGCCAAGCTTTCATAATTAACAATAAGTCTCCATGTGGTTATTTGGGAGCTGGCAGATGAGACAGAGAAAGACTCACTGCAGTAGTTGATAGATGGTAAATGATGGATATATAGATAGAGGATGGATAAATGATAGATAGATAGATAGATAGATAGATAGATAGATAGATAGATAGATGATAGATTCTACATATGAGAGGAAGCATGTAGTATTTGTTATCCTTTCCGTACATTTCCCTTTCATATCCCCCTTCTATTCCTTCTATTTTAAAGTCATATAATTATATATTTCAATCTAAATTCTTCATGTAAAAGAAAGCTTGATATTTGTCTTTCTAGGTCTTTGTTTCACTTAATATGATGTTAAATCCATTTCCCACAAGGACATAATTTCCTTTTTTAACGGGTAAATAAAACCCCATGGTCTCTGCATACCATATTTTTTATACATTTCCTGTTGTGGGCATCTGGTCTGGCTCCTTATTTTAGGAATTATGAAGCATGTAGCAATGAGCATGGCTATGTAAACACCTCTGTGGTGTGTTGATAGAGATTCCTTTGGAGATAGAACCAGGAATGCTACAGCTGGACATACAGTAGCTCGATTTTATATTTCTATGATATATAACTTCCATAGTAACTTCCATAAAAGAGGTGCTAGTCTGCCTTCACAGCAGCAGAGTCTGAATCATCCTCTTCCCCATATCCTCACAGCGTGGGTCTGCTTGATGATGGCCACTCTCATTGAGGGGAGATGGGATCTGCAAGTAGTTTTCATTTCCATTTTCCTGATGGCTGAGGAAGCTAAACACTTTTCTCGTGTATCTCCTGACTATTATTTCTCTATCTTCTTCTATGCCTTCTTCTAACTATCCAATTTATTTTCATTTATTGATTGAGTTATTGGCCTTTTAGTGTTTACTGTTTGGAGTTTTAATATAGTTAAGAAATTAATCCCCTGTAAGATGTCCAGATAAGCATAGCTAACAAATATTTTCTTCCATTACAGAGGTTCTCTCTTCCCTCTGGTGAATATTTCCTTT